ACCCAACTAGCCTCAAAATGAATGGAGCCAGCCAAATCACGACCATCAAATGGAGCTATGATCAGGCAGTATTCTGTTGGATACACCTTGTTCTGTTCTTAATCCACAAAAGGTAGCTCATGAGAGAAAGGCACAGGTTAACCTTAAAGGTGTCCTTCATGAAAGTTCCCACATGTCACTGCTCATGGACCCACATATACTGGTGTCTTTTGATGTAAACAGGTTCCGCCTTTTCCATTGGTCTGAAGGTTAGGTCGGGTAGTTCTTCCAAGCCTAACCTTTCCATGATCTCTTTATCAGCAACCCGAGTTCTAATGACAGGGGCATGGTAGGTCTTACGATATTTGACAGCGTCAATGTCCTCGAAAGATTCCAGCGACTTTCTCCATGAGTCGAAGATTGTGAGCATTGTGCCTAAGACGTCATCCATCTTTGGGCTAAACGTCTTTTTTTCAAACTTGCAAGGACACACATAGTCCAGAATCTGGCACATGTAAGTTGGCAGTTCCTTAAGGAACGTATAATTCAGTAGCATGGCTGCTGCCGTTGTTCCTCATACCACCTTAAAGTGGCTCTTAATTTTATCAACATGTGTAGTCTCATTGCTTCTGGCAATGACTTCTGGAATTTTTACTTTGTCTAGTCGCAACCTTAGTCCGGCGTGATTTTGCCAACATTAACCTTGTTAAGATCTTCCAGGAGGGAATCCATGTTCTACCTAAGAATCCAATTTAAAATCTAATACTAATATTGAGCTAGTCATTGCGCTAGTCGCCTAACCTGGGGACGTTCAGCACAAAACGGTCAATAAATAGAGCTTAACAAAGTGCGTACTAGTTATTGCGCTAGTCGTCTAGCTAGGGACGTTAGGTACATAAGTAGTAATAAACAAACCTTAATAGAGTGCGTAACTACGGGCATTCAGCACCTTACCTACAAAAATAACAGGAGGCCACCCGGATTCTGGAGAGCCCCCCGTTAAGATAGATACCACCATTAACAATAACCTATACTGGTTCTTACTCTTCGGTGCGTTAGTCGCTTAATTATTGACATTCAGCACCCTACCTACAAAAGTAGGGAATAGAAGCCCCCCTCCCCTTTAAGATTGATACCACCATTAACAATAAACTACACTAGTGCTTATTAGTCGCTGTGCTAGTCGCTTAATTATTGACATTCGGAACCATACCTAGCGCAGTAATGGAAAGGAGCACCCCCGGATTTTGGACCCCCCCTTCATTTCAGGAGATAGCCCTCGGGCATGGAAGTCTATTCGGTAAGCTTGAAACTTTTACGTTTAAACCTCTTGGAGATATTAAGGGTTAAAGTTTGACTCTTTTTCATGAAAAAGTTAGAGGAAAAGGCTGGTGACTAGATTTTGCGTCTGCCATATCGGAAAAAACTTTAACCCTTAATATCTCTAGGAGGATAAAATCTTTCTCAACCAGATCTTGCATGCATGTAGCCCACATGGAGGGCTAAGTAAAAACACCGTTTGCTGAGTTTCCAATTTAAACCATTAGTTGGTACAAGTTTGGGAAATTTTACCGTAAATGACGTCATAACTTGTAAGTGCATGTATCGATTGTCACAAAAATGGTACCAAACAGTTCCTTGCATCGTTATCTAGCCAACCAATATAATATTGGAACCTCAGAGTACATTAAACGCCTACAATAGCTTTGAGTCAACTGTGTTAAGTGCAGGTTAGAGCACTCTTAAATTAATTAGAGACTGTGCGCAAGCAATTGTGTATCAGGGGTGGGGGAATGCCATATGAGATGTCTTGGTCACCTTATAAACACTTTGTGATAGTTACGTTGCCTGTACCTAGCCTCAGAAAGGTAAAAAGGTGCTATTTATGGAGCAAAAAAGGGCGTGTATTTACCCTACGATCACATGGTGAATATAAAATGCCTTCATTAACCCTGGTGTCAAGAAAAAAAAGTGATAAAAAATCAGATTAATTTCTGAGAAAGAGATAACTTATTGTTGTTTACCCCATTGAGTGCCCTTTAAACGCATAACAATCATTTTCATTGTTATTAATAACCACATTTTAAATAATTTGTTTAGCAGATAATTAGGAAAAATGAATTAATCATGAGGGTAATCCAAAAAACGTACAAATTCGTAAAAAAAAAAATACGTTCTATCGCCTAGAAACAAAAAATATCGTTATAAAGCAATTTATACCAGCTTTTTAATGTTAGTATAGTTCACGCGTTAAATTTGGTATCATTACGTCTTTGCAGAAAAATAATGGAGTTTGAGAACAAAATGCCCTTAAATCATAAGAGAAGCTCCCAAGCTTCTTTCATGATTTAAAGTTAACTTCTAAACCTCTTGGAGACTCTAAAGGCTAAACCTTTGTATTCCTTGTAGGAGCATCTAATGACATCGCCTCTGGCCAAAATTCAGGTAATTTGGACACCTTGAGAATATCTTGTGCTAAAAAAAGAGTGGTCTGTGGAAAACATCGGTGTATTTTTGCCCA